CGGACGGCGGGCCTGGCGACACGACAGGCTGCCAGGCCCGATGCCAATTAGTGCCATTCCGCGGCGAGCTCCACCGAAAGCCGGAAAGCGACCGCGACCGCTCCTTTTCCGACGCCTCGCGGGAGACCCCCCCCCCGCCCATTATCCTCGGCCGTATCACTCGTCAGTATCACTTTTACTCGCGATCCCGTGGGAGCCCACGCCTCGGAGCGGCGAAAAAATCTCGCCCCCTTCCCAATTTCTCAAATTCGAATAATTCAGAAACTGGTCGAACCACGTGGCACAGCGACGGAAAATAAAAATGAAAAATGACAAAAACCAAATATTTTGAATTTTATCATACCGGGAAAGAAAGATACGGAAAAGATAAAGGGGGGAACTCGGCGAACCACCGAGTACATTAAACCATCGCTAGGTTTATTTCCGGCCAGGTCGGCGTGGGCGCCGTCCGGTCGGGAATTCGTAAATAGTATCGCGCCGCGCCAAGATCGCTCGCCCCGGAAATTGCGCGCAACCCCGAGGGACGGAGAGGGAAAACGCGTCGGTCGGTCAATTTCCGCGGTCTCGGAAAAATTAACCGACCGTGTAAGCAGGTCCCCGAAGACCCGTACAGGTGTGCCCGCCCGAGTCCCTCGGCGCGACTCGACGAATAAATCCCGATAGCGGTGGCCGCGTCGAAGATATCGCGTTGCGTGCCAAACCCCGGGGCTAAAATTGAATCCGCGCGTTATCGATAAATCGAGCGGACGAGCCGCAACCGTGACCGTTGGGAACAGGGTGTCGTTAGAGCGACGTTAGGAGGTCGTTAAAAGCGGCCCCTCGGCGGGGCCCGGGGGTCGGCGTCAGCCGGTGAGAAAGCACCCCGAGGAGGGAGGGAGGGAGGGGGTCGCGAGAGTATGGGAATCATCGGATTAACTTCCGCCCGGGCGAAATAAACAATGAGGTGAAACGACGGGCGCGAGAGAGAGAGAGAAAGAGAGAGTTAGATAGAGCGCGACCCGTGTCGGAGGGTTCTCGGCCCTCGTGGCGGGCAGAGAGCCCGAAGGGGGTTGTAATTCGAGAGCCATTTAAAGCGAAGCCCGAGGGTCGGGGGGAGGGGGATGGGAACCCGCGGGACCCGGTGTCCCATTCCGGGCACAGGGAGCGCATGCAGACGTAAACACAATCGGGACCCACAATGGCGGCCGCGTCTCGAGTGCTGGTGGGCCTCTTAGAGGTTGACTAAGGTACAAGTGCGCTATGAGGGAGGGGGGTGGACCCGGGAGAAATAATTTTTTTGGCAAGGCGCGCAGCCCGCGAGAGGAACGGCGACCCGGAGGGAAGGAGGGAGGGCCCGGGCCTCCGGCAGGAATGGCGGGGGCAGCGGGCACAAAGGGACGGGGGGGGGAGCCGAAAGAGAGAAAGTGCGCAAACGGCCGCCTTCGACCCTCTCGGGGTCCTCTTCTAGTGGACCAATTTACGGCCACCCCTCGGCCTCGGGTAATACCGGTCGAGGGCTCGAGGGCTCGTTTCCACGGTCTCCATTGTGGGAGGCCCGGGAACGGGGGACGGAGACCGGGCGAGAGAAAGACAGAGGGAGAAAATAGAGATAGGGATAGAACGAGGCAACGAGGGAGCCCCGATCGGGAATTATTCCCCGGCCGGGGAAAAAGGATTTCCTCGATCCCGAGGAGCGTACCGATCCCGGGTTCCCGGTCCAGGTTTACCTACCGCGCGCACCTGCCTCTCCTTCCCCCGTGTTTTTCCCCTCTTTTCCGCCACCCCTACCCGCGACTTCCGCGAAGAGATCGTCGGGCTGATTCGTTTTGTCGGATCCACTTAGGACCCCCCCAACCTCTCCGCGAGTCCTTAGCTCGGGGGCGGAAAATTCCGAGGAGAAACTTCGCAGACCTGCCGAGGAGCGACCGAGCGCGACCCCCTCTGCCCCTGTCCTCCCCGGAAAACCAGCTACCACCTCGCCGTGACCCTAGACGCTCCGTCTCTTTTCCGCTGCCGAGGCGCCCGTCCACCCCTCGCACCTCCCCCGTCCCGTAATTAAATAACCGCGTCCTCGTCGCCAACGAGACGAAGCGATCCTGACGCACTTGACCCTGCGGCGAGGGGAACGGAGGGGGGGATCCTGCGACGGGATTGGAAATAAACTAGGTTTCCGAAGGAAGGCGAAAAAGAAGGACGAAGGCGGGAACGGTGACACCCAGCGCGACGGGTGGAAACCCGCGGACGCCGATACGGCCGACGTCTCGGGGCGTCCCGACGGTAGCCTTCTTCGCGATAATCACAAGTCGGACGTCAAAGCATTTAGGGTAATACCGCTAACGAGGTGGGCCAACGGGCGACGTAGTTCGCCGCTCGTCAGGGTCTCGCGACTTGTCGCCGGGAAGAACTCGGCGGTAACTCCGAAAATTCCGAAGAAGAGAACGGGAGACCCGGCGAATCCACGCACATTTTTTTTTGTACCCCCCTTTGTGCACGTCGGGGAGAGATAATGCTGTGGGGCCCGGTTTAAAGGGTAGGTAGTCGAGTGGCGAGAGGACGGGTGAACGGGTGAAAAGCGGCGATAGAGCGAGAAAGCGGCGGAGAAAGGGGAGGGCGCGATACCCCCGGTGAGTCGAAGAAAAATAGAATACATCGAGCGAGACACGATGTACTTCGACGCCCGTCGAGAGAAAGAGAGAAAGGGAGGAAGAAAAGAGAGGAGCGGAGAGACAGAGAGAGAAAGGAGAGAATTCGCCGAATTTACGAGGCGTCAAAATCTCGACCCGACCGAGAGACAAGGACTTCTCTGTTCCTCCCCCCCCCCCTGCCCGTCCCCTCTCGGACGCGCTCCGGCGGACATTGAAGCGCTACCGGAAGTACGGATCCTCGGGTGGATGTCCTTTTATTGCCGTCCTCTCCACGGCCCCGTGCAACGCGCTGCCGCCGAAGAACTGCGCGCCGCGGGGCACCCAGAGGGAGTGAGAGTGACGGACCGAGGCGGGAAGCGGGGGGCGCGACGAGGACGCAGCGAGGCCGCCGGGGAAACGCGGCTAGCTCGTGAAATCCTCCGGCGGAACGGCCCACGGGGACGGGACCGCGAACGATTTCGGCGAAGCGGCCGATCGGCGCGGAATCGGCCCGCTCCTAATCTTCGATCTTCGAGACAACGATCTAAAGGCAGCTTAACCGTTAACGATAATAAAGATAACAAAGATGCCGTGTATACCGTCACCGGTACAGCCACCATCCATCTCTCTCTCTCTCTCGCGAAAGAGACCCTAAAGAAAAAGGAAAGCGGAGAAGACGAAGGTAAGACATTACCCACTAGGAATGGGAGCCGCCGCCAGGGTCCGGGGTCCATTCGGTAGCGGCGGCGCACGTGTGCGCCTATTTGCCCCGCTCGTTAAGCGCGACGCCCGGCGCGGTTTTCTAAGCGGTCCGGCGGATTAAAAATATCAATATTTACGGAAGCGGTGGCCGGTGCGGGGCGCTCTTAAGCCCCGGCTACCGGTAATGGCACCACCTAACGCGCGCATGGGAGCAAGTGAGAGCCCGCAATCCCGCCGGAACCAGCGCAGCGCGTGCACGCGTGCTCGCGCGCCGACCAACGCGCGCGTACTGGCGTTTCCGAGGGGCGTCCCCCGACCCTCCCTCCCGGCAGAAGCGCCGTGCCATCGGGAGCATTGTCGAGCGTCCCCTCCGCGCCTCGATTCGCGGCAACCCCTTTCAGCACTCTCCACGTGCTACAATATCGCCGCGCCACATCCGGTGTGGCGCGTTTACGGGGCGCCCGGGGGGACGAGGGTTGGAAAAGGTGAGGGGAGGTGGGAGGGGGCGCCGTCGCATTATTTATCCGCCGGGGATCGCTCTCGGCACGAGGATCGTCCTTTCGACGTAAGGGTGAGAGAAAAATGGCGGATCGTTAAGGAGGTTACCCCCGGGAAAAGGCTCCCCGCCGCCCTCTTCGCGCTCACTCTCTCTCTCTCTCTTTCCTCGAGCCGCACTCTATTCATTAAATCTTACACGCGTGACCGGAGGCAGAACGCATCGCCCCTGTGTGCGTGTACGTATAAAGATCTCGTCAACGGTCCGCCATTTCTTCCGGCCGAATTGGCGCGGGAAGGAACGACCTCGGGGCCAAACGGAGGGGAAGCGCTCCAACGAGGTGGCACCTCCTAAGGGTAGGTGCTCCGGCGCGGAATCACCGCCGGATATATCAATGACCGAGATTCTTCCTGCCGGGCGGCGCTCGAGGCCTCTCACGCGGCCTTGCGGAATTTACGGCGGGATTTATGCCGAATTTCTTCCACTTGGCGGGATTCTCGTTACTTCTCTCCCTTCCTCTCCCTGGGAAAATATTCGAGATACGAGATTGGGTCTCTCTTCGACATCTGAAGGCGTCTACGGGCGTCGGGCCATCGAACGGCACCCGCGCGACTCGGCCGTCGGTTTTCCGCGCCGTCTCGGTGCCCGGGGCCGTATCGGTGGCGAGGTCGGCTACTTGGAAAGCGGACCGTTGGAATTCCCCGGCTCGCACCTCGGCGACGCGGTGCTAGGTCGAGCGGATATAAAAAGCAAAGGACACGCCGGCGTCGCGTTCACGGTTGAGCGGGCTCCGCGAAGTCTGACGAAATCGGCGCGCTCGCGCGGCTCCGTTTTCCGCGCCGAGTTAACCCAGATACCGCGGGCAGCGCTCATTGTTGGCGAACGACTCGCCGTGGGAGAGTTCCTCCGAAATTACGGGGCAAATTGCCCGATCTTTCGCGATAAATCGCCCGTTAATCGGCAACGCGACCCGACGGATGCGACATAACCTCCAAAGTGCGCGCGATAAAAAGGCACCGGTTACGGCCGGTGCATCGATTCGCTATTAATAATTACCCGTTTTCGGGCGAGTCATTAGCGAGCCGTGGGAAGGGGGAGGCCGAAACGCCCTCCCCCACCCGCATATCCCGAGCACGTGCGTGCCGAGTATCGGACACGTGACCTCGACCTCGTCTCCGGGAAAGGGAAAGACTACTCACCGGGTGCCTGGCAGCTGCGGCCGCGGCGACGGCGGCGGCGTTAATCCCGGCGCTAGGGTACATCTCGGCTGGCAGAGGGTTGCCCTTCCTGGCCCGACGCGAGGGCGAGTCCTTGAGGCGCCCTCAGGAGCGCGGCATATCACGAGCAAGCGGCGTCCGGTCCGTGGGCGATATCTCAGCGCGGCTTCGCCGGGCAGGCGCGGGTCGGGACGCGGAGCGTGAGCCGCTCGGCGTGGCGCGCCATGCGCGGCTCGGGACGGGGCCCGGTGGGCGCGCGAACAAAGGGCGCGCACGTCCTCGGTCGGTAAAGTCGCGGGCACTGGCCACCGAGAGGACGCGCGGTTCTCGAACGAAGCACTGAAGTCGTCGCACTGGGTCGGGCGACGACGCCGGCCCGTCGGGGCGGCTATATAATACTCGCGCGCGAAGTCACTCGCGAGAAAGCCGGTGACGTCACCGGTGGCGCGGGGCCCCCGAGTCGACGCGGCGGCTCGGTCCGAACGGCGTGCGGTGGCCGGGAGAAGCGGAGCGAAAGCGACCTCTCCTCTGCGGCGGCCTCGACGCGACTGACGGCCGGCGCGGTGGTGGGGGTAGGCAGAGCCGTTCCCTCCATCGGCCGCCCCACCCGGCGCGCGCCCCTTCGCCGCCTCCTCTCCGCCGACTCGGCTCCCTCTCTCTCGCTCCCGCGCGGCCGGCAGCGCTCGCGCGCGTATTAACCGACGCGCGATGGCTCCTTTAGAGCTCGGCGAGGTTAGGTATTAAAAAGCGAGAGGTCGAGGGAAAAATCGACGACGCGGACGCGCCCCCGGCACTCGAGTCCGTTTCCACCGAGTCTCCTTCTCGGGGGATTCCGCTCGTCGGATGCGCATCCGACGCATCCGCCTGGAGAGTCTCGATCGGGCATCGGGAGTCGCGCGTACGTTCCTCTCTTCCCTCTCCTCTCCCCCGGCCGGTGATGCCGGCGACCCTCCCCTCCACTGGCGGCGCTCGGCGCAAACAAATCGAAAGTTTTTCGCAAAATGGCCGTCACCGGGCTGACACGGATGTCCGCATAAACTCGCCCCCCCTCCTTCGCCCTCGCTCCACTCGTGATTTCCCTCGCTTCCCGCACCACCACAAATATGGCGCGCCTCCACCCGTTTTCCCAGCCCTCTTACCCGTGGCCAGGGCGAGGGGGGCGCGGGGGCGCTGCGCCGTGCACGTACGCGCTCCTCGGCGCGGCCGAGTGTGCGCGCGAGAAGCGGCCCGCGCGGCTGTGTGCGCGTTTTCCGCCTCTCCATGCGCGCCGGAGAGTAAGGGGTAAGGGTGGCTCTACGCGAATATCGCGCCGCTGCACACAGTCCCGAGCAGTTTCCTACTTGATTGCCGCTATCGTGCGCCGCTCGTAAAGGAAGTCCGCGCGGACCGGGGCCGCCTGGGCCAATGGGAGCGCGACTCGACCCGCCTTGGCCAATCGGAGGGCGCGCTCGCCGGCCGGCCTAGCGGGCGCCCGCGCTCGGCCAATCGCGGCCCGACTTTCTCCCGCAGTTGGGGACGGGCGCTCGTCGAGTCCGCGCGGACCGCGTCGAGAGAGCCCGGTACGGGCGGAGACCCTCTCGGAATAAAGGTGCTACGCGAAGCCGCAGCGAAACATGAAAAATAGGGGGCTACACGGGGAAAAACACGGGGCCGGGGGCTCGCGCGGAGCCGAGGGCGAGGGATCCCTGCCGATCCCGCGAACCCGAGACACGGAAGGCCGGGAACGGGGATGAGAATGGAAAAGTAACATAACGAAACGTCGATCCCATTACCTGGGCCCTCTCCCGGGCCGGCCCTTAATCCGAGGAGGATTAGAAAAGCCCGTTGTCACGCTTCGCGGAAGCGCCTCCGCCGAATCAAGATGGCCGCCCCCCCCCGTGATCGCGTCGCCCAAGATGGCGGCGCGTCGACGCGGCCGCGACGATGCGAGACGGTGCGAGAGCGAGTCCCTTCCTCCCGGTAAGTTTTTGCCGGGTTTTCGCCGGCTTTTTGCCCTATTTCTCGGCGGGACGAGCAAAGACGCGGCCATGCGGGCGAGAGGGCCGCGAGAGCTCGCGTCGGGGAGTGTTGGCGAAGCTGTCGGTCGCGCTCGGTCGGCTGCGGTTACGCGGAGAGCTGCCGCGCCGCAGCCGGTTTGCGTGTTCGCCCGTGTTCCCCGGTAGATACGTGTCCTCGCCGCTCGGCGCTCCCCGTCGGGGGAGAGAAAAGGAAAGGCGCCGGCCGCGAGACGGCGAACGGGGTGCCGGAAGGAGAGAGACGCGATGAGGCGGCGAGCCGTGGCGGGAGAGAGAGGCGCGACGCGCGAGGGAAGGCGGGCGAGAGCGAGAAGGACGGACGCATGCGTAGCGCCACGGGGGGGAACGCGACCGAACGAGGCCTTGGCGAGGGGCAAGGGGGGAGCGGGGAACCGGTCGGTGCGGTTGGCGGCTAACCGCGCTGATGCTCTCAACCGGTGGAGACTTTGCCGACCGCCGAGAGGACCGAGTGCTCGGCTACTTCCGCCGCGGTTTCGATAAGACTCCGGCCGACCTCGCCGCACCCCCCTTCTCGTTCCCTTTACGGCCAGATTCCCGAGGACCGGGTGTCGGGACGTTATTCTCGCGTGGAGATATAGCCCCCGATAGAACCCGGGAAACGGAACTATCCGATTTACCGGCTACGACCCGCCGGACTCCGGGAAAGCGGTCCAGGACTTGGAGGAAAAATCGAGTGCTGCGCGCAGGTACCCGCGTGACCGAAATTCCTGGGGGGAAAGACCGGCAGCCGACCGGCACCGGACCGCCACCGGACCGGCACCCGACCGGCACCCGGGCTCGCGGAAGCCGCTCGAGGGAGACAACCGTGACGGAGATCCGGGCATTCCGCTGCCGTGTCGCGGTTTACAAATGCGATCTGGAAGTAACGCGACGAGCGTGACAAATGGCCGGCGGCTTTGGCCGACCAGCGCGTTTATACCGAAATTACGAGCGCCTCTTTGACGCTCACGCTCGCCGCGCGACAAATCGCCCGATCCAAAGCCGAATCGACTCGCCCTTCTTTCCGTCCCTTCCCGCCGCCCCGTTTTTATCTCCTTCGAGGGGATCGCGAGGCAAACGTCCGATCGTTGCCCTCGGCGAAACGCTTATCCACGAACGTAACGGACCGTGTCGCTCCTTCCGTCTCCTTTTCGGGACCGAATCACCCCCTTTGGGTGATAATCCCCCCTCGGTGCTTCTGCCTATTCCGCGGGATCTCCTACCTGAGACAATCCTACCGGTGAGTCCCTCTTTCCCGGAAAATTCTGGAAAAATTTTCGCCCATGCAAATCGAGGCCCGCCAGTCGTAGATCCATTCTTCGCGTCCATCGAGAATGTCTCGTGAAATTATTTGAATGATTACCTCGGTTTAAATATGCAGAATTATTTGCCGTTTCGGAGTTTCAGGGGGGATTTATAGGGGATTAGAAAAAGCCGGGGATGTTACGAAAGGAGGGGCGAACCATCGCGACTTCGGTCAGGGCGTTCCTTGGATGTTCCGCCGGGTGACAAATCGGTCGATCCTCGGGAAATCGGCTCGAGGCTCCAGTTTCCAGGAGCAGCCGGCTCCCTCCTTTCCCGGGATAAGTTTCCCTCCGGCAGGGATAATCCTCCTCTCTCCACCTGTGCTCCCCGGAGCTCGTACCCGTGGTGCGGCTTCGCTTAATACCGGTAGTGGGTCACTCTTGCCAGGAACACGCTGAAATATTTATGGAGGCCCCCAAGACCCCAGGAGGCGGACGAGGCGCACCTACCGAGGGAGCGAGAGAGAGGGAGACGCGACTCTCGTCCTTTTTCCCCCTCGGGATAAATTAATGAGATCCGACCGCAAACATTAGCCTCGCCTCCCCGTACGAACGAGCGGCGCGATCCTCCGCGTTATACACACGACCGATCTCCAAAATAAAAGACCGGCCTCGAGAGCTAAGGACGCCGGCGATATCTCTGCGGACAGCTTTCTCGGGAAAATTATTGCCGCTTAACACTTTCGGCCGCAAACGATTCGAGCACCTCGAGGCCGTTCGGAAGCTGCGGAGAAAGAAAAGAGTCACGCCTATCGAGGCGCCGATGGACACTCCTCCGAAACGGCCGCGGCGATCGTTAAGCGGGAATTAAATGCGCCGGGTAAAAAATTCATCATTCGACGGACTTCGGATATTTTCTCCCTCGTGATCTACCGGAAGAATTCCAGAACGCGTGGAACCAGGAAGATCGTCATCGATCGTTACGAATTCCTGCGTTGTCGATAATGCATAGGGTCGGGAAGACCTCCAGCATCCCTACAAATGGAGGACCGACTCCAGGAATCAATCCGTGCATGTGTCGAGTACGTGCGGAAGGGTGCGGCCTTATCGCTAATAGAATTACTCGGCCCCTGGAAGTTTTCAACGGTCGATTTGCCTCGGCCCTGGGTAGTTACCCGACCGGCCACCGCCGCATCCGGCGCCCCCGGCAATCCGCACTCCACGTAGAGTCCACACTCCACGGGTCGAACCTGCCCTCGCCCTCGGCATTCGACGTTTCGTCACGCCGGGGGGCCAAGGCTGGCCGCAGATGTCGGCCATAAAGCCCGCGCGAAACCCACCCTTAGTGCCACCCTGCCGTTCCGGCATTGTATCTCCGCGCTGAATACACGCCCTTAAATAAATCCGGCCCCTCCAGGGCGCCCCGACCCGGCAGATTAGGTACGCGCCCCGGTGGCGGGTCCGCTCGGCCTGCGAGGGGTGCAAGGACGACCACCCTCCTCCACGAAACTGTCTCCCAGCACCCTCGAGTACCCCTAGGTTTGCCCTTTCGCTAAGTGGGCCCTAATGCGCCAGGGCGCGACACCGGAGGGTGATTCTCCACGGTCCCGACACCCGGGGTTCGGGACGACCTCCCTCGAGGGCCTCTTCCGTTGCATTTAAAGGAATACTAATTTTCGTATCAATTAACCAGATCTCGGGGAATCCCATTTTTGGGGGTTAGATGGAAACGAGAAGATGTGGAGATCGGGGAAACGTGGAAAATGAAGGAATCGTTGTATACTCAGCGATATCCCGGACTCGGGGGTTCGACCCCTTGGGCCGACTCCAGGGGGAGAAGCCGATGGCGAACGAGAGGAATTCATTCATCATCCGAGGAAGGGGTTAACGCGGCCCCGTCCTCGGGGAGCGGAGCACCCTTAAGCTCGTATCGCAGTTTTTGGTAATCCCTGTCGAGTGCAGGGTGCCGGGGGTCCCTTTCGGCGTCCCTTTGGCCTCCCTCGACCCCCCTCGGGCAGCCACGGAATTAAATGCTCCAAAAGAGATCCATTCGCCTTGCTTTATGCTCCTCGAGGTGGAACGGCACCCGCTCGATGTCGATAAACTCCGGCCGCGAGTAGCCCCTTTCGCGTCGAGATAGGAAAGTCCTTGGCGAAAAGTGCGCCGAGGCGTGGTTAATATTTTATCCTTCCGAGAACCCCGGTGCTCGTTATTTTAATATCGCCACGCCGCTACCGTGCTAATTTATTTGCCACCCGGAATACTCGGCCGCCG